CCCAATAAAAAGTCAGTGAAGACGGTTTGAGTTGGACAACCTTTACTGCCTGAGGAAGTGAGTACACAAGGGCTGTGTAGGCAGCCGCCTCGAGCGCGCTGAAAGCAAAATGTTCTCCGTGACCGCCTTCGGGGTTTTTTTGTCCCAGCGCGCGTGTACGCCTTTCGTTGTCTCCGCGTCCGCTAGCCAATCAGAGTGGGGACAACGTTGATTGGCTTCGAGCACTCTCGAGGCTAGTGAAAAGCCTCGCGCGTCCCAGCAGCATATCGACAAGGAGTGTGAGGCGGACAGGACGGCAGCGTGACGAAGGCAGAGGACGAGGATACGCGAACTGCCACAGTACCCCAGCTTGACCGATGGCGGCGCGTAGCGATGCCGAAGGAACTGTTGATGTCTAAAAAAATGAGTAACCAAACGGTCAGGAAAGTGAACATGGTGTCCACTACTGTGATATATAAAGGGGCACAGGTGTAAAGGGAGTTTGGCTTGCGAACTGCCACAATCTTCTGCCCGCGGTGGTGGTCAACAGCGGTCGTGTTCGCAAGCTTGCGTGCAGCAGTTTCTCTAACATTTGATGTAAAATGATTTACTGTCGATAGAAAACGACTGTGTTTGATGCTGTGAGATAATATCTCGCACGTACTTTGGGTGCACTTCTGTTGTGAAGCCTTCAGAGAATTTCAGGCGCATTACCAGTACTTAAAGAACTTCTACGATTACATGAATTTGAGTAAAGGTTGCTTTTTGATTGATTATTTTGGAGTGTTGCAGGATAGTCGCATGAGCAGCGAGTTGCCTGAGCCATTGTTTACCGTATTTTAATTTGTGCATGTTCCTGCGCAAATGTTTTAATGCGTAAAGGCTATTTTACGGTCTGGTTGGAATACTCACTGCCAAATTCTGACGAAAATGATCCACATTATTACGGCTGCCGTGGCAATGCAGCTGCGGGCACAGCCACGCATTTTGATGCAGGCAGCTAGACACAAGCATGAGGAATTGGCAACGAATAAGTAGTGGAGGCAGTTTGGCGACATATCGCAAGGCGCTCGAAATGACCGGCCACTGAGCCTGTTGAGCCTGAGCATGTTCGCGTCGGCCTCGGATTTTGTTGTCCGACTGGCGTGACCCGACCTGATTGCAACGTCACATGGAATCTCACTTTGCACAAATGCCTGTCTTCGTCCATGAAGGCAAATTCTGAATGGGAGACGTCGTGTACAATCAATGGCGCTGTGGTTATTGGTCAGCAGCCTGTAACTGTGCCTCTAGCGGACGAATGGCGGGCTAGGCGTGTCGGTTCGTGCAGCCGTGAGAGCGCCTTTATGAGGGAGTAGGATATCCGTTATCGACGGCTAATTTGTGTTCATAATTTGTCCCGTTAATGGGCAATGACTGCCTAAGCTGTTTATAGTTCGAAATTAATTTAAAAAGTTTGGGTTATTAAAGAGCTATCTGTGCGGTTTTTTGTTATGCTCGTGAAACTGCCGTACTCCGAAGATTGTGTTAGCTACAAACCCCAAGAAGAGCATTTCTATGTTATGGACGCAACGGTTACGCGTGCTCTTTAAGGGTTTGTCCATTAATTCGCATTGACCAGTACGTTTGCGACTGCTAAGATGGTTTCCCGCTACATTAATTGAAAAACCATTGGTCAGCATTTTATTTTTGCCCCAAATGCCGTCTACGATTGGGTCTTCTTGTTAGATATCAAGTTTGTCGTTCAGATATTCCGCACTGAGTTTTGAAATTCAAAGGCACTATTGATATCAGGCGAATCACAATGTAAATATCAAGAAGAGTCTATGAATGTTACTCTGCAAGATCTACAAGATAAACTACCTTGCACGACACTGTGATGTTCAACAAAGTGTCATTAACTTTCGCCAAGGAAACAAGTGCAGCCGTTTGTCAGAAAAATGAAGTTGCCCATGTTGATCAGTCATGATAGTGTGATTTCGGTCTGAATGCGTCCATGGGAATTTTTTAAGCTATGTCAAAAAGCACATACCTTGGCCTACAAAAAATTGCATATGTTGTGTTCTTGTACAAATTCGTCTGTCCAATGGATGCTTGTTTATTTTGTAATAAATTCGGAAGGTTTCCTAAAACCGGCGGTAGCGCTCAACAGCCGTCGTGTTTCTGAACTTGCATGTAGCAGGCTCTCTTACATCTGATGTGGATATGAATTACTTTTGCCGGAATACTGTATGTGGTGACAAAAGGAGAGTCTGGTGTGTACGTAGGCAACATTTCAATTTGCATGCCCTCAAAGAATTTCGCCGCGGCATCACTGAATGATCTTCTACGATTGCACGTACCTGGTTTGTGATTGCATAAGGGGTTATTTGTGACCAAATTAACATCAACGCGGCCAAAATTCAGGCGAACCTATCCTCATTAAAAAGCTATTATTGCGATTCGGACGCGATTACATTCGCCCATTACAATGCAGGCTAGTTTTGTAGCTAGGACCAAACGCGTAATTAACGACGTATAACTGGTGCGAGCCGTTTGACGGCATAGCGCCAAGCGTCCGAACGGACGGTTAATCGAGCGTTTGGGCGTGAGCATTCTCGCGTCAGCTTTAAATTTGCTTGGCCGGTTGGCATAGCCTTGACTGGCCAGACATGGTGGTCACATCATACGGATTTTCACGTCACACAAATGACTGTACTCAAAGCGTACTTTCATGCTTGTGCACAAAAGGAGGCCTTTTGCGCCTTATTTTCCAGGCCAACACTCATGACAGGAATACCCACGCTTTCATATGCCACAGAAAATCGTTGTAAATAAACCGCTAAAGTAGCAATTTCTGCAGTTGTTGTCCAGCAACACTTCCAACAAGAAACACATCTGGAAAAGACTTACCGAAATGCTAATTTTTCAGAGGTTTTTTATGCAGATGGCCGTTTCGGTTATATTTTCCTTTCACACTGATGGACTATGACTGACGGATAAAGTGAATGTTTGCAAACGAACCCAGTGATGTACCAGTGGTTCGGAAAACTGACGCTTACTCTCAGGTCGCGGCTCATTCAATGAGACACGGTTACAAATTGGAGTTCCTTGAGGCCATAATTCTTGCAGGATAATCGCGTGAGCAGCGAGTTGCGTGAGCCATTGTTCACCGTAGCCCAGTCCACCAACAAATGCAACGACATCGCCTCTATATATTCGGTGCTGAGGCATAGTCTGGCCAAAGAAATCAGGCATCCGGGTAGCGAGAAGGCCGGCGAGGCAGATGGCCGAGTAAGTATCACGCCAGCATACAACACGGGAATAAGATTCCATCAACTAACTACTTGCCTGTCGGCTATCAAGCTATTAAAGCACCAGAAGGCGACTGTTCTTGATGAAATGGAGAGTGGTTAATTAGTAAAGGTACGCAGTAGCATAGCGACTGCATACTGTAAATATCACAACTTCCTGTGCACAAACCACCTGATTATGTCATTGTGTATGATGATGAGTTCGAGAGAAAATCAGAAACGTCGGACGAAGAAGATTCTTACCCCAGCGATCGCTTCCACGTCTTCTCGATATTGCGATTATTAAAATTGTGCAGACGCATGTAATGCACTGGAAAGGAGAATTCGCTTAAAGAAGCTGGACAGATGAGGGTAATTCTCAACAGTGCAGGAATTTGGAAATTCTCACAGCAGATTGCCTCATTAAGGCTAATTATTTAAGTAACGTGCTGTGCGTGAATACATTGCGGTCGAAGACAACGGTGATGAAGACTTCTCGACGATCTGCTACAATGCAGCAAGAAATGTCACGGCCACGATGTGTGGAACAGCAGATTCCTTATTTTCTGCATCCTCCTTTAAGAAAGCCAACATCGATTCGCCCAGTTCCTCAGTATTTAGGAGTCCTTGTACGTCTGTCATTGAAAGGAATTGTGTATGGCCTGGGATAAAGGAGATTTGGACTCATAGGACATAACGTAAGGATAAGTCGCACCTAGCCGAAGGAAACATCGTTTGGGTCGAAGTGTCAAAAGGAATTTTAATCACTGACAAGTTTTACCCGACTCCTTGCCCACGTGACTAAATTGGCCTGACGTGCTTCTATGTATGCATCGACAGAAACCTAGGCGCAAATCAAGCATGGATTGTCCTACTAAGCGCTTATTGTTCTACTCAGGCGCTTATTGTCCTATTGAACCGCTTCGTGGCCGTGCGTGACTCAAATACCAGGCCCAACCAAGCCGGATTTCGTGCTGGACGTGGATACGCGGACCAGATATTCACCCTGAGGCGCATTCTCGAATGTCGCCATAGCTTCCAACAACCGACGGCCGCCTGCTTCATTGACTTTTCCGCCGCGTGCCAGTCCGTTCATCGTGAGTCCCTTTGCCGGATAATGGCGCTAGATGGTGTACCGGCAAAAATCCTCGCCATGATCAAGGCCTACAATAGCTCCACTACTGTCAGAGTCCTGCTCCGCAACAATCTTTCCCAATAGTTCGGTATTTGGTCTGGCGCCCGACAGGGTTGTATCCTGTCACCCATACTGTTCAACTATGCTAGTGACTGGATCCTCGGGAGGAACCTACGCGAGAGTGACGGCACTGAGTTTGCACCCGGATATCGACTGACTGATAACGACTTTGACGATGATATCGCCCTACTTGCTTCAAGTTTTGATTATCTGCAGTCTATGGTGTCACGGGTGAGCGAGGTCGCTAAATCGGTCGGTTTATCCATAAACACTGGGAAGACCAAAGTGTTTGCAAGCTGCATCCCCGACCAGGAGAAGGCACTCCTGGGGATTGATAGCTGTCAAGTTGAAGAAGTAGGCAGTTTTAACTATCTCAGGGCGAGAATGCCGCCGAGTGAACAGAGTAAGGAGGACATTGTCATCCGAATCTATACTGCCCGCTGGGTTTTCTCAAGCCTTCTTAAATGCCTGTGGAACCGACGTGACCTTTCCATCGCCACTAAGATTCGCGTGTACCGTGCATCTGTCCGGGCTGTCCTTCTCTATGATCTCGAATGCTGGACTTTGCGCTGGAGGACGAGCGAAAACTGGAGGTATTTGACCACCACTGCCTGAGAACCATCCTTCGAGTGAAGTTCACCGACTGCGTTTCAAATGAGACAGCCCGCGCTCGCTGCGACATCTTAAGGATAACTCAGGCCACCCAAGAAAGACGACTGATGTGGTTCGAACAAGTTCCTTGTCGTCCACCTCAGGAGCTCAGTGTTACTGCCCTCAATCAGGCACCGTCTTCCCAGTGGAGGCGTCGAAGAGGTCAGTTCAGAACCTGGCTCGACACAGTTCGTCAAGACATGGAGGTGGTTCTTGAAACTTCGGTTTTTGGTCTCCGACGTTGGCGAAGGGAATGGGTTCAGTTGTCCGGATCTGCTGCCGCGGATCGTCACGCGTGGAGAGGTACAGCTCGGGATATCATCGAAGCCGGCTAGATCGGGCAGGATCGCAGCCGTATCACGTACAAGAAGTATGGATTGAATGCCTGAATTGACTTTTTGGTTGTCAATACGTACAGCTGCATGATAATGATTAATTAAACGATACTTAATCAATCTTTAAGATTTAAGAACACATTTCAGAATCTAAATAACAGTTATAAAAGGAGCGCATATATGTTTTCTATTATGTCGGACTCATAATGGGTTCGTAGAAAATTCGGCGTGGAAGCAGTATTTCTGGTGATCTGCTACGGGATACGATTTTACATAGCATTTACAATTCCCTTGGTCGACGCTCATTACTAAGAAATCCTTTTGATTTAGCCTTGCTTGGACATCAGCCTACAAAGATTTAAGTGGAAACACCACATTATCTGCACTGTTTCGTCCTTAATACAGATCGACGACTCCACCTTTTCGATGAAAATATTTTTATTCTAATGACCCGACGACTAGAATCACAACAGATGAGGCCGACAGTTTTTTTATGAACGCTGCTTAAAGGAAAGTGCAGTCACTACAGTAGACGTGGAAGGCAATGTGTGCACGTGGTCATGAGAGAAAATCAGTCATTTGTGAACTCTAGGCCCTCATCGAAAGAAAAAAGCAGCCCAATAAACCTTGATTCGCGCAGTCAACACTGTTATATAAGGAATTTGATTTGGGGTCTCTGTTATCCACCGCAGTCACCGAACTTGTGGTGCGTTAGTGCTCCCAACGTGCATTTGGTCTGCTAAATGGCAGTGGCATCATTGCTTATATATATATATTTTTTTTTCTTTTATGTTGGTTTTAGAACTAAAAGCAGAGCGATGATGAAGTTTCTGTTCGGGGTTCTACTCATCACGTCAGTTGTCTTCTGTGGTAGGTTCCTAAGCAGTTTCAAAATAATATTCTTCTAAAAGATATTTCTTAAAGCACCTAAGTAAATGCATTTATCCTTTGCCCCCAGTGTCCTCAAGTCAGGCGGTAGACAGTGCTCAAAATACTACTCTTCCAGAAAATAACCAGACGACAAATGGTACCGCACCCAGCCCTCCTACGGGACCTAGTGCGAACGGGACTGGAAGTAATTCTTCCGACGCTACACAATCTACGCCTCCGGGTGAAAGCACAACGACCTCCGACGCGTCAACCCTAGCAATGGCAAAGTGCTTCCTTCTGCCAATCCTGCTTGCCATCTGCGCCAAGCTGTAAGGACCTTTTCCAACCCAAAGACTTAATAAATATTATCTATTCAGCATTTTGTTATTCACTTGCTCTGTCCTTGTCTCGGCATTAATGACTTTAATATGGTTATTTAAAATAAAATAGTTGGAGAACGAATTGAACGAGGCATCTTACCTTAACCCGAACAAATAACAAATCTGCTGAATTACTGTAGGAGGCCGTTGTAAGATGCCGCAATAACGGCTGGTCATTCTACCTGTATGATAAAAATGCCATACCAATACCTGTCCTTATAAACGATGATTTTCTAGTGGGGTAAGATGTGGTTTGGTAACCCCACCTGATGGGCCCACTGTGTTGGGGTTGGGGTTGGGATTATGGTTAGGTGTCATGGTTAGCACTTAGGGGTTATGGTTAGTGGTAAGAATTAAAGGCTAGGATTAGGGGGTTGGGGTGTCGGATAAGGGGTTACAGTTAGGAGCTAGGGCTAGGGTTATTCGTTGGCGCAAAAGTGTCTACTCATTGCTTCCCTGCTTGCCCTATTTGCCAAGCTGTAACGACATTTTCCAAACCAAACACCTCCTAATAAACACCATCTGTTCAGCGTTTTTTATTCACTTGCTCCATCCCTGTCTTTGCATTAATGAGCGAACAATGGTGAGTATGAATGAAGTTTAAATGAAAACGAAACCCAGCCTATAACCTACGCATCTATCTTCTCATATCTGCCGAAATACTTTAAGAGATCGTTGTAAGCTGGTGTCGTTGCGGCCAGCGGTGTGCTTTAATGGTCAAAGTAACGTACCAATGTTTTTCCCTATAAACCACAGGTTAAGGTTAAGACGTCAGATGCTCGTGAGATGACCCATACGAAAAAATAACAGCTCTGTGCTACTGCATTAATAGGTAGGGTCCAATAGCTTAAGACTCAAATCACGGGAAAACTCAGACCTGCAAAAAGACGTCAGAATGAGGAATTTTTCACACGGCAGGAGTGAAGTTCTGGTCGATTATTTTGTGTTCTGGTGTCGCGATATCTCTGATACGATGGGACGTTTGGCGGAAAAAAATTGCAGTATTCAGCAAAAATTAAAACAGAATTGTTGTGCAAGTTCTATTGCTATCTTCGATACCGTCCTTCCGGTCGCGTGTGGAAGATGGGTGTTAATGGTTTATGGGCTTTGAGAAACCTATAAACACTATTAATTTGGTAAATTTTCATTCTTCCAAGTAGATGTGGTAACCTAACGTAGAACTAACAGTAGCATTGTCTACAATGGTTGTCTACCGCTTCAAGGAAGGCCACAGGTGATCTATAATCGGATCTGCTGTTACATACTTCAGCACTCTATGGTTGCACCCGATGGGAGTTGCCTAGGGTTCATTCACGTTGTCCCGGATGAAAATAATTGATCATCACATTGATGCAGCACTGATGTCCACCTACGTATGCCAAGGCGAAGCACATTTTTGCCTGGGCGTCTATCGGCTTTTCGATTAAAAACAGTTTGCAGTAATTATAAAAAATAACCATCACATACGTACTAGTGAAAATGTCGTTCCCTGGTGGCGTGTCGAATAAATACAAACGTTCCACGGTTTATTGAAACTCTGACGTTTCGAGCATTTATTTCGTCTGTGAGTCTTCAGGGACTAGAAGTTTATGCTAACAGTTCTTGTTAAGTGCCACAAAATAGCATGATGCATAGTCGTCTGTCCGGCTGCATTTGACTCCCATCTCACCTATCGCCACTGCCATCTTTTTGGCGTAGAAAATAATAGTTGTTCTCAACCGTGACTGTCACCCGTAAGATTAGAAAAGCAAGATAAGGACAAGCATATTAGACTGGCCGTTAAAAGAGCAGTTGGTGGATATTTGGGCTTCCTGCATTCGCATTCATGTGCATCCATCGCCTCGATTTACGAGTTCAACGACGTCAAGCTCGAGTATATGCCGCATTTACGAGAAGTGGGTCGGCGTCACCTAACTTGAACGCAAAGTTCGTCCTGCCCGTCTATGCTTATGCTGTTGCTGTCGATCGGTTTTCCTAAATGTAGTTGCGCATTCTGCAGCTGCGTTTAATTCGATAAATTGTCTGCTGTTTTATGAAAAGTAATAGTTCAGCGCTCTCATGAACCCATCGCTGAAAGGTGGCGAGGCGGTTTTCGTTTCACGCCACACGAAAGTAGTCGATCGTCGCTTCGACCTCCGCACTGATGTCAACGTATGTGTGTAATTTTATACAAAATTAATCAAATCTCCGTTGAGCTTAAGGTCAGTCGCCAGTTCCAAATACAAATGCCGAATCTGGTGTCTTGGTGCCTGTTGTTTGATAGCACAATCAAGGTACTACGTTTCTTCCGAGACGAAAACCGATATCCCATTGCATGACTTCACATGCTCAATGAGGGCACGGGAGAGCAGAGGGCATCTAACAACGAATGCAAGTCTATGATGGCCAAAATAAAAACCGAAATTGAAGATGTTTCATAAAATGTGTATTGCATAAGCGTTTAACAATGCGATATTCCTACTGAAAGGCGGTTGGCATTTTAAAAGATCACTTCATAATCCAGGTCAAGAACGTTATTGTTCTGAATGCTAGTAAGATCGAATAAGTGAGGAGGAGTAATGTTAAAGTTCCCATTGGCACTTCCAACCAAATACTACGTCCTTCGGCATGCTAGATGTATGCCCAGGCATACAGTCATGTACCATACACGATACCTTTCAACTACAGGCATCCAAGGACACTCAAATTGGCACAAGCATATACTGAGGTATCGAACGAAGCGATGTTGGCACTCGTAGACGCGAATGCGTAGAAAGTAAAAAGTGCGCACTTTTGCACTACCCGAAAAAGACATATTTTGCAACATTGTAGTAGTTTGTACGACACCCGTCATCACAGTTGTCATAGACCGCAACTTATTTATGTAAGTACGTAGTCGAATTCGGAAAGCTGGATTATCGGATCAGATTTTAGAATTTTCGAACAACTTAAATACTAGGTATTCTGATTGTTTGTCCAAACGCGTTATGTATTTCAGTGTTTAATTTACAACTAAGAAATTTAATTTCATCCGAATATTCATAAATCTGATATAGGGTTTACGTTTCGTTATATTAGGGCGATTTGTTTTGCACATATTTGTGCTATATATCAGTTATGAAATTGGGCGTTATTCTATATAAGAGGAGACTAATGTACTCTTTTGTCTTTTTATAAATGGATCTTGAAGCTCGTGAAAACTGATTTCTTGACTAATTCTAACCGTCGAAATCAGCTGGCACACAGCTTATTTTTAAAGAGCCAATTCTTTTATAAATTTTGGACGAGAGATTAACAGACCTGTGCGATTTCATGTCCTTACGCGCAGTTTGATTGAATGGTCCGAATATGCTCTGAAGTTTTTTTAATATATTTAGGGTTGTCAAAGGAGTGGCTATCACCAAATAGTCATTTTGAGCTTCGAACATTTGAAAAATTACGCATGTTTTGCTCTTGCTTATCCATAAACGCAAGGTACAGATGGGACAACCACAATATCAACAGTTTCAACTAAACGCCAGAATTCGCATAGCTACCATACGGGACATTCACAATTGCAGGAGAACCCATTAAAGGTAAACAAAGCTAGTGACAGTAGCCAGATATAAAAAGAAATGCATGCGCTTACGTTTGATGCGGCAAATATTAATATTCTTTAAAAACGTAAAAGCAGCTCTCAGAAATGTCAAATGTTTCATGTATTCATAAAGCAAAAATAAAGTAAACGGAAATCCGTCGATAGAATGCAGTATAAAAGCGCTATTTAAACAG